AACTTCTAGGCGGTCCTATTTACACAGAAAACTACAAAGATTTGGAAGAGACACTCATAAAAGTTTGTTTTCTCATTCATTCTTTAGTAATATGTATGTATGCTATAAATACATTTTTTTTTATAATTATAAATGATATGCTTTTGTATTAAGGAAATAAGTTTGACATGATACACTTGTTATAAATATAAACTTTATTTATTTTACAAAGTTATTTCAACTTATATTAATCACTCTTGTTGGCCCGGATGGTAGCGCGCAGGAGGTCTTATTGTGGGAGGAAACCGTAGTACCCGCAGAAAACCCACGTGATCGGGCAGGTGACCCCATACCTTTTCACGTCCGATCAGGGAATCGAACCCCGGCCGCATTGGTGAAAGGCAAGTGAGCTATCCACTGCACCACCCAACCACTTGTTATAAGTATATTATAATTATATATGTACACTTTGTTTGTTATGACTTCGTTTTGTTTTAATTATATGATAATTATGCTATGATTCATGTATTAGTATGTTCAGTTATAATTATGCTGTGTTTTATGAATAGTAATGTATTATGTGATGATTATGTCAGATCCATGTATAAAGATTATGCTACAACATATATATATTTAATATCATGTTATAAACATGTAGTATTGTTGGTTTTGATAGGGTTTGGTTTAGACAGGTTTCATTTTAGCCTGAAACAAGACCTTTCATAGAAAGATGGCGAAACACGTGATTTGTAACGTCGTATATAGAGAGTAAATAACGGGTCTGGAAAACATGTCTTAATAGCCAAATTGTTGATTTGATGGATCTGCCTTCAGTTTGTGCATCTTCCCGTTTTTTTGGCTCCGCATGCGCGGAATCATTTACGTCACAGTAAAATACATTCCGTGATGTCTACTAAGGACCTTAATTAAGGTGATACTTACTAAATGTATTTGATCAACGAAGATTTATTAGTCAAGTTCCATGGGACATATACAATCAGGTCTCCATAAAATCTACAGCATATGTTTTGGCGGGCGCGAATATCACCAAGCGGTCGTATTTGAAATTATCAATTCTTTTTCCATTTAATTTTTGGAAAATTTGTTATTCCGATTTGTTAATCTTATCTTAAATGTACAAAAAGAAGTCTTACAGCTATGGAAAACGGGCTGTCTGGTTCTGTTGCGTCATACGGGATATTTTTTAAAAGACTAAGAATGCAAAAATAAACAAATTTTAACAACTTTGAACAATATAAATTTCCGCCTTTAAAAATGATCAATTTACTTTTGAGCCGAAATAAACCAAGCGTTTCCCATTAGTTTGCAGAAAAAAATAACGAAAACTGTAAAATATCTTAATATGAAAATAATTCAAATTATTAAAAATGTGTGCATCCACGGCTATAAAAAACATACAGGAATTGAATATATTGAAATACATTTTTCTTCATGAAATCTTTATTAATATATGTTTGTCATAATTGATATTACACCTTGAAATTTAAATAAATTAAATAACTCTGGTGTCCTGATGAATTATGATGTATATACCGAACTATTTCAAAATTTTCATTTACTTTTAACGATAACTTTATACTGCGGTGTTTGGCTATAAACTATTTCAATTTTACATCTATATTCCGCGCTGTTCTGGATATGGACAAAAGCCGGAGTGCAATGAATACAACTTAAATGTTTATTCAACATCTGTCGGTGAAAGAGGGGGACCACATATTATAATAATTGCTACATAAAGATGTCGCGTGAAGATATTAATTAAAATATTGCAAAATATTCATAGAGTCTCCTCTTTTCAGAGTTTTTTTTCCTTAAGACTGGTCTTCTTTCAAAGTCAAAGATTATTATTAATTATTAAAATGATTGTGAGGTATATTTCAATTTTCGAAAACGAAAACCATGTGTCATTCGTCTCAAAATAATTTTGTGAGAAAATCAACACTAAATATAAACCTGCTGATTTTAAGATAGGATTAAACAAGAATTTAAAGTTTATGAAATATGATTTTAAAAGATGACAAAGATTTATAGATACTGTAGCAACCGGGCTATCACCTGCCATAGTTGAGCGAATTTATGAGAACAAGTTCATCATTTCCAACAAGATCACCGTGTGATCACAGTCCGCATCATTTCAACATTTTATGCTAATTTGTTTTCATTTTTGAACAACAAACAAGAACGAAAATCAACGCCAATGATAGCAGATGTTTATCGCCTCAATTGGCGAGACGATTTGGGAAGTTTGGATGGTCGGGGGAGGACGTACAGATCAGACAGGGAACCACATAATGGCGGGCGGTGGAGCAGGGCTGACTTATGATACTTCGACAAGTAAAGATGTACGCAAATATACACATTAACAACGGAAGCGCGCGCATATTTGTCTCGTGTTCCATATTATAATATTCTTGATATAGGACTCTTCTCTTCCTTTTTATCTTTTGATGATTTCCTCTCCCTCCTTCATTTAAATCCGTTTATAATGCCTCTCTTTTCACCCGTCTTCATTTAGCATAGATATCGTGTTTTTCGATCTGTAATAACATAATAGATCAATCAATAAATCAATAAGCAATCAAAATGTTTAATGATCATATAATAAAGAAATATATTGAACAAGATAAATGAATAAATAAGCAATACAAATGTTAAATAGTCACACAGTTAGGAAAACTATAAAACAATATATTATCTAAATGGCTCATATTGACATGTTATATACTTTTAAACCGTTTCGCCCATCTGTCATCATTGATATTTTATATATATTGTCTCCCTTTGTACCTGTCGATATAGAGTATGGCTATTGCGTGTACAACGACCAAATACAGAAAATAAACAATGGTTTAACGAGCACATAATATATACAGAAATTTAAAATATATATTTATTATATTTTTCGGCAGTGAGATATGGAATTTTATCAACTTTATAAACCGAAAACTTTCACACTGTAGCAAAAAAAACAAAATTGTGAAAACGTCAGCAGAACGACATTCTCTTCACTTCATTCAAAGCCGTAGATTTTCTGTACAGATACAGACGAAGAGACGGTAGAATAAGTGGTGTTTGGTAAATCTTGTTACATATGCAGTTATGTATGCTTTCCCTACATATTTTCTATCTTTTATGAAGGCAATTTCTACCAAATAACGGAAGAGTTGTTTTGAGAGGTCAACTCAAAATGACACTGCCCTGTTGTCCGGTTAGACGTCATTGGAATATAGCAGCAAAGATTACGCAATTTCGTCCCCTGTTGATTTGATGCTGTAACATTTCCTTGTTTTAGTTAGTTTTAAAATGTAAGAAATAGAAAATGAAATGGTTTTGCCGTCGACTAGCATATACATTTCTGACTTTTGCTTCGCAGGTCTGAAAATGTCGATATTCTGTCTTACGAGAGTATATGGGTGGATTGGTCGAGTGTTTAAAACTTCGGCCTTCCACGCAGGCTGCCGGGGTTCGATACTCGAAGTCGTCGCACGCACGAAATATATCAGAGAAAGGGTTTTTCTCCTGCGTACACAATTCCAACAACCCAGGTGGAGTGTAAAATGGGGTGGGGTGGATGTTGCGGTATCTGTGATGTAGCATTCAAGTGATGTGGCACTATAAAAGATGCCGTTGGAAGCACGGTCTCACTACAAATAGAACACATTACATTTCCAGCACATACACAGGCATACACACATAGGGAGATATTAGCCAGGTGGCATAGGACTAGTAGTTAGCACCTGATAAGGCAGCTCCTGCGAATTCCCTTAAATTGAATTGATTAATGTATATCCTAATTGTATTAATTGTATATCTATGTACTGTAAAGCACTTTAGAGTGGTTTATGTCAGCTAGATATAGGGCGCTACATGTATATTAAATATTGTATACTATTTGTTATTATTATTGAAGCGTTTGCCGTCGCGTTCAAAATAAGAGGGGAAACCCTTATTACATGTTACTTCAATTACAGTGTTCGATGTGTGAATGATACAACCTAAAATATGATAAACAGGTATACAAATACATCTGTCTCGAAGAAACTGGTAATAATGCATATGTAAAATTGATATGCGTTATTTCGGTTTCCTTAATACAGTATATGCACGATACACTCGGGAGAGCGCCATCTAGGGTCATTTAGAATAATAAGATAGTATCTTGTCTATTTCAGATGATGTATCATTAATGTTTGACAGTTTCCAGCTCGTTTCACGACTTAATCATTCGAACTGCAATAGAAGCGCCTCTTTGGCGCTTAACGGCAAAGCTGGGACAAACATTGTCGGTAACGCCAGGTCAAGTTCCACGTGACCTCAACACGAAAGCTGTGTTCAAACATTTTCGTGACCCTAAACAACAGGGTCAGGAAACCGCCTTCGTGACCTTAAACGGCATGGTCAGAAGGATGGAATACCCGTTTTGAATAATATCGTCTATTGCGATCGTTGAGTGTGTGGTAAGGTATGATTTTGATTGAAATTCTATGTGATTATCTATGTGAGTATGACGAGGTATACTTTCGAGTGACACTTTCTTTTGTAATCTATGCGTGTGGTGTTTCTGTCTGATCCTGTCTGTCGTGATGTTGGAGTGTTGTGAGGTATGGTTTTGACTGATTCTGTCTGTCTGTCGTGATGTTTGAGTGTGGTGTGGTATGGGTTTTACTGGCCCCGTCTGTCGTGATTTTTGAGTGTGGTGAAGTATAGTTTGACTGATCCTGTCTATCGTGATGTTTGAGTGTGGTGATAAATGGTTTTGACTGACTCTGTCTGTCGTGATGTTTGAGTGTGGTGAGGTATGGGGTTGACTGACTCTGTCTGTCGTGATGTTTGAGTGTGGGGAGGTATGGTTTTGACTGAACCCGTCTGTCGTGATGTTTGAGTCCTCTGAGGTATGGTATTGACTGACTCTGTCTGTCGTGATGTTGGAGTGTGGTGAGGTATGGTTTTGGCTGACTCTGTCTGTCGTGATGTTTGAGTCCTCTGAGGTATGGTATTGACTAACTCTGTCTGTCGTGATGTTTGAGTGTGGCGAGGTATGGAGATGACTGACTCTGTCTGTTGTGATGTTTGAGTGTGGTGAGGTATGGGCATGACTGACTCTGTCTGTCGTGATGTTGGAGTGTGGTGAGGTATGGTTTTGGCTGACTCTGTCTGTCGTGATGTTTGAGTGTGGTGAGGTATTGGTTTAACTGACTCTCTCTGTCGTGATGTTTGAGTGTGGTGAGGTATGGGTTTAACTGACTCTCTCTGTCGTGATGTTTGAGTGTGGCGAGGTATGGAGATGACTGACTCTGTCTGTTGTGATGTTTGAGTGTGGTGAGGTATTGGTTTAACTGACTCTCTCTGTCGTTATGTTTGAGTGTGGTGAGGTATGGGTTTGACTGACTCTGTCTGTCGTGATGGTTGAGTGTGGTGAGGTATTGGTTTAACTGACTCTCTCTGTCGTGATGTTTGAGTGTGGTGAGGGATGGGTTTGACTGACTCTGTCTGTCGTGATGGTTGAGTGTGGTGAGGTATTGGTTTAACTGACTCTCTGTGTCGTGATGTTTGAGTGTGGTGAGGTATGGTTTTAACTGACCCTGCCTGTCGTGATGTTTGAGTGTGGTGAGGTATGGTTTTGACCGACCCTGCCTGTCGTTATGTTTGAGTGTGGTGAGGTATGGTTTTGACTGACTCTGTCTGTCGTGATGTTTGAGTGTGGTGAGGTATGGTTTTGACTGACTCTGTCTGTCGTGATGTTTGAGTGTGGTGAGGTATGGGTTTGACTGACTCTGTCTGTCGTGATGTTTGAGTGTGGTGAGGTAT